GAGCCCTACGTGACCCCGCCCTCTCCCCAAACCAGGCAGGACCCCCTCGCATCCCATTATTCCCAACCCCTTTAGCAGCAGTTTGGCATCAGCGCCCCCACCCTGAGCTCAGTGTGGGGTCCTTAAACTGGGTGTGGGAGTCCCTGGGCTTGCTGGGGATCCCTAAAATGGTTGGGGGTCCCTAAATCGGTGGGGTCTCCCTCCGTGATCCCCCAGTTCCCTGAGACCCTTCCTGGTGCCCTTCCACAGTCCCACGGCCAGAGAAGACAAGGGTAAAGTTCCCCCAAGGCTGCCCTCCCTGCAGAGTCCTTCCTCCACCTCCTCATCCTCCCGCTTCCCACCACAGCCCTGCCTGAATTTTCCTGCCACAAATAAGCTGTGTCATCCCAAAGCAGGCTCGGAAAGCTGGAAAGCTGGGCTCATACAGCCCTCCAGCGGCAGCTGGCCAGGCGACACCCGGCAACCGTTCCCAATCACCCTGCCAGCCTTTAGGATGCCAAAATGGGGAGAGGAGGGGGCAGAGCAACGGCATGGCACGCAGGGTCTTTATTCCTCCCACAGGGATTTGGGGACTCCTGGGATGAGGCAGCATTTTTTGGAAGGGAGTTACATCAGTCGGTCATTGGTGTGCCACAGGCTGGTGGGATGGTTGTTGGTGCTGAAGCCGCTGGGACGTGGCGGCTGGACGCCCTCCACGGATCTTGGCGCCCAGGTGATCGGRTCCTGTGTCCACCAGCCTGGAAAATCCAGGAGGGGTTGCTGAGGGGGGTGTCCACTCCTCCTGRGGGCTGCAATCCCCCCCAAACTCACCTGGCTCTATCGGGGCCATTGGTGAGAGTTCGGTCAAGTACTGGTTCTGGATTGCGGCGAAGGTCAGCGGCTCCTGAGGGGTGGAGTGGGTTGGGATGAGATCCCATGGGAAAGGGAATGGGGACAGACAGGGGACATGGCTGCACCCACCTTCTCAGCAGTGACTCCCTTGGGTCCCACTCGGAGCTCCGGAGGGGCAAAGGCAGCGGGGCAGCCCATGGCAGGCTGGGGCTGTGTGGGGACACAGGGATGGGATCCTGCTCATTCCCGTGCCAGGCAGCTCCCACTGCCTCAGAGCCCACCGGGAGCACCAGGACATGACATCCCTGCCTTTGCCATCCCCTCCCTTTGCTTACAGCGCTGCATGTGGAGGGAAGGAAATCCATCCGGTCACCGTTGGTGTCGAGCTGTGGGAGAGGAAAAGTGATCCCTGAGGTGCTGAGGGGTGGAGGGGACAGGAGACGTGGTGGGGACAGGGCTGGGGTGCTGAGGGGTGGAGGGGACAGGAAATGTGGTGGGGACAGGGCTGGGGTGCTGAGGGGTGGAGGGGACAGGAGATGTGGTGGGGACAGGGCTCACAGGCTGCTCTGGCAGGGCGAGGTCACTCCTCGGGGCGGTCCCGGTGAAACCCGACAGCTCCATCGTCCTCTGTGGGGCATCTGTGGGGAGCAGATGGAGCAGGGATGTCCTGTGTGTCCCCATGTGGGCATTACCTGTCCCACTGTGTTTGGGGGTGGGTGAGGGGGTGAAACGGGGCAGGGGGTCTCCAACATCCCCAAAACCTCCTGAGGTCTGACTTGGCTCCAGAASCACTGACACCCCCAAATGCCTAAAGCTGGATGTGGCCCTGGGACCACTGAGACCCCCAAAATCTTCCTGAAGAYGAACCTGAACCTGGAGCCCCCAGGACCCCAAACCCTCTTGGGGTTGGAGATTTCCTGAGAATCCTAACCCTCCAAAACCCTCATAAAGCACGGAATTTTCTCTGGGATCCCCAGGACCTCCCGAGACTGGAGTTTTCCCTGTGATCCCAACACCCCAAAACACTCCWGAGGACKATGGTGTGCCTGSGATATCAACACCCCMAAACCMTCCTAYTAAGGATGGASCTTTCCCTGGGATTCCCAACACCCCAAAACTCTCCCAAGGATGATGCTGTGCCTGCAATATCAACACCCCAAAACCATCCTACTGAGGATGGAGCTTTGTCTGGGATTCCCAACACCCCAAAATTCTGCTGGTAATGGGAGCTTTCCTGGGATCCCAAGACCCCAAAACCACACCTGGCTGGGCAGCACAAGCACACTGGCACTCGGTGCTGTATTCCTCRGATGTTTTCGGAGGTCTCATCTCCTCGAAACGGAGGCGGGAAAGGGAGAARTCTGTGGGATACCGAGAGTCCTGCTCATCGATGCTCTGGGGCAGGATCCTTTGGAAAATGGGGCGCCCGAACACCCTGAAGTCCTCAGCGGTGGTGGACACATCGGTGTCCTGGCTGTGACAGGAACAGCTGTGATGGAGTGATCCCAAAACTCAACCCCCAAACTCCCAGAGCAGGGACCTACCGCTCCAGGTGGGGGAAGATGAAGGATGAGAGTTCTGAGAAGTTGTTGACGACRTATCCAGAGCCGGTGGGGTTGCCATGCAGGGGCCGCACGCTGCTCTCACTCGGGGGCTCAACCCCCATAACGCGCCCCACCTCGTACTTTCGGGGTGACCCCGAGGGCCTCTGCCCATAGGCCGCCTCGTAGGTGGTGACATAAAAGCCCCTGAGCTCGGAGGGGGGGCCCATCACGGTGGGGAACCCCCCCCCAACTCCGTCCTGCGGCAGGGATGGCATCCTGGCACTGGGAATGGCCCCGTGATGCTGGGAATGGCCCSAGGGACTGCCCTAGGCCATGGCTGGAGGTGCAGGGCCCTCCYGGCAGCCCCGGAGGCTGTGGAATGTGCCCGTGGAATGCCACTGTTTCCTGGTAACCGCGATAATGGGGACCTCCCAGGAGGCTGTGATGGAGGGCACCGGGAATGTCCTGCAATGTCCTGCTCCAAGCGGGACCTACAGTGCCCTGCCACCTCCTGGGGGTCCTGGGAAAAGGGGCAGGTAGGAATTGGGAACATCAGTGAAGTGGGATGTGCCAGAGCAAGMTAAGAATGTCCCCAAGGACCCGACCCCGATGGCACAATGCAGAGAGGGGCAGGGCCGGCAGCCACGGCTTTATTCAGCATTCCACGAGCGAGCGTCCAAAGGCTGCTGGAAGAGGAGCAAAACCACAGGGAAGGCAGAAACATCAGTCCAGAGTCCTCCAGGGAATGGGCACAGAGGCATCCCCTCCCTCAGCGTGGTGGCTCAAACAGATATTCCAGGTCTGGCTGCCGGAGCCTCTGCTCCCTGTTCCTGTTTTTGGCAAATTCCCTCAGCATGGCCATCACGTCGGTGTCGAAYTCCGCTGGCGTGGGCTTTGCCTCTGGGGGAAAACAGGGAAAAATCAGCTGCACGCTGTTCCCAAGTGGGATCCTGGTGTCCCAGGGGCCCATCCATCCCGGTATCCCAACAGCCCATCCCGGTATCCCAGTGGCCCATCCCGGTATCCCAGTGGCCCATCCCCCATCCCGGTATCCCAGGGGCCCATCCCGGTATCCCAGTGGCCCATCCCGGTATCCCANCGAGCGTCCAAAGGCTGCTGGAAGAGGAGCAAAACCACAGGGAAGGCAGAAACATCAGTCCAGAGTCCTCCAGGGAATGGGCACAGAGGCATCCCCTCCCTCAGCGTGGTGGCTCAAACAGATATTCCAGGTCTGGCTGCCGGAGCCTCTGCTCCCTGTTCCTGTTTTTGGCAAATTCCCTCAGCATGGCCATCACGTCGGTGTCGAATTCCGCTGGCGTGGGCTTTGCCTCTGGGGGAAAACAGGGAAAAATCAGCTGCACGCTGTTCCCAAGTGGGATCCTGGTGTCCCAGGGGCCCATCCCGGTGTCCCAATGGCCCATCCCGGTGTCCCAATGGCCCATCCTGGTATCCCAATGGCCCATCCCGGTATCCCAATGGCCCATCCTGGTATCCCAATGGCCCATCCTGGTATCTCAATGGCCCATCCCGGTATCCCAATGGCCCATCCCGGTGTCCCAGGGGCCCATCCCGGTGTCCCAATGGCCACACGTACCAGTGGCCCAGTAATAAATGTCCCAGTCGTTACTGGGCTCGTTGATGAGGCGGTCGTAGCGGTTCAGCTGCTCCTCGCTCATTTGGGCCAGGTTTTCCTTGGCGAAGAGGCTGGAGAGGGATGGATCAGGATGAGTGGGAGATGAAGAGTTGGGATATGACACCCAACTCTACCACGCACTCCCAGCCTGCTCTCCTTYACCTCAGCAGGTGGGAAAACACTGGCACAGCATTCCCAGGGAAGCTGTGCAATCCCCATTCCTGGAATCCCCATATCCAGGCTGGATAAGGGCTTGGAGCAACCTGATCTGGTGCAAGGTGTCCCTGCTCGTGGCAGGGGGTGGAATGGGATGATCCCTAAATCCCTTCCATCCCAAACCATGCCAGGATTCCATGCACTGGTTTACAGGAGATATTGGGAAGAGATTCTTCCCTGAGAGAGTGGTGAGGCCCTGAAATGGATTTATCAGAGAAGCTGTGGTTGCCCATCCCTGGAAGCATTCCAGACCATGCTGGACAAGGCTTGGAGCAACCTGGAAACGTGGAAGGTGCCTTTAAGATCCTTTCCCACCCAAACCATTCCAGAATTCCATGATTCTGTGATTTTAATCTCTCCTCCAATCCCAAAATCCAACTGGCCTTGTATTCACAAGTCTCAGGACTTACATACACCCCACCCAAAGAATTTTGTCTCACTGGGGTCTCCTTGTTCTACTCCATCATTGGATCCTGGACCAGCAAAGCCCTTGGAGCAATTTATCCCAAGCATTTTTCACCTCAATAAATTCTTTCCTGTTAATGAAAGCTCCTGGGGCACTCAGAGCCAAGCCCACCTGAGCAGGATGCAGTTTTCCAGCATCCCCCTTTTCCTGCTCTCGTACAGCAGCCGGGCTCTCTTGGTGTSCAGAGGCTCCTCGGGGCGCTCCTGCCAGGGGGGCAGTGGGATCTCCAGCACATCTTTCCCGGAATCCATAGGGGAGTCCCCACGGTAGCTGCGCTGTGGGATCAGCGGCCACAGGAGATGACGGCGCAGGGAGCAGAGCTGGAAGGAACAGGGAAAACGCGGGGATATCAGGCCTGGGAGCCTCGGCACACAGGGACCCCCCAAATCCTGCTGGACATGAGTCCCAATCCCACCCCCCCTCCAAACCCCACAAATCCCCCACACTTCCCTTTTCCCCCCAAAATCCCTTTCTGTCTGCTCAGACTCTCCTTCCCTCTCTTTCTCCTCTTTTCCCCCAATAACCTAATTCCCCCCCCATCCTGCCTTACCCCCAATCTCCCCCATTTCCCCTCCTTTTCTCCCTTTCCGCCCTTTTCCCTTTCATTTCCCCCCCTCCCCCCTTTCCTCCTTTCACCCCCTTTTTACCCTTTTCCTCCCATTTCCCCTGTTTTTCCGCTCTCCCTCCTTTCTCCCCCCTTTCCCCACCCTTTTTCCCTTTCCCCCATTCCCCGCTCTCGCACCGTTCCTCCCAGCCTGGCCGCCGCCATCTTGCCGCGCGCCGCTCTGGCCACGCCCCCTCGCGACTCTATGGTGCCGGGCGAGGCATTGCCGGAAGTGGGCGTGGCCAGGCCCGGAAGTGGGCGCGGCGGCGCTGGCGGTGAGCGCGGGCGGCGCGCGCGGGTCCGGGATCGGGGGGAGAGCGGGGGGGGGCCCGGGCCGGGGGGGGCTGGCGATCTAT